CATCGTGACAACGCGAGCTGGGCTCCTTGTCCACCTCCTTCAGCTTCTCATTCTGCAAGGCTTCTGAGCCTGGCTCTGCACTCTGCAGCTTTAGCTTGGCCCCGGGGCCCGGGGGAATATTAACTTACAAGGCTTTCGCTGTGTTGCTTTTACATGTCTGAAACTATTTCAAAACTTAGCGACTGAAAATCAAGTGATTAAGGACACTTGACTAGAATGTAAGAAGTGCTTTTGTTCCCCTCCGTCTCCACACCCCTGTTTTGGAGAGAAGAAGGTGGTTGGGAATGAATGAGTGTATTTTTTAAGACATGTTCCGGCTGCTTCGGAATATCTACACAGACAAGGAAGCCGGAGATTCTAAAAGGTCAAACTAAAAATCAGGCAAGTGCTTCTAAGGCCCTGGTCGGCAAACTGCGGCTCGCGAGCCACACATGGCTCTTTGGCCCCTGGAATGTGGCTCTTCCACAAAATACCATGGCCTGGGTGAGTCTATGTTAAAGAAGGGGCGTTAGAAGTTTAAGTTTAAAAATTTGGCTCTCCAAAGAAATGTCAATCGTTGTCCTGTTGATATTGGCTCCGTGGACAAATGAGTTTGCTGACCACTGTTCTAGGGGTAGATCCTAGGTGTCATGTAAATTCCACTCTATGACTCTCCAAGACCATTTTGTTTTATGAGTTTCTTGCTCTAGTTGAGTGGGGAGACTGGGTGTGTGCTGAAATGGGGAATAGGGATTCTTTGGCTTCTAGTCCCAGGAGCCTTGTAACTTTGCAAAGATGTTCTTGCACCCCTCTTTCTGGCTCAGCCTTCAGGGAAGCAGGTGCCAGATTGGGGAGGGGGTGGGGGGGCTCACCTTCTGAAACCTCCTGGAGGGTGTGAATTTCCATTCCCCTCAGTGCCTCCTAAGCAGCTGGGTGCAAATGGGGGGTCCCTCTCCGAGGGTCCCCTCCCCAGACGCAGGAGAGACAGACACTGCCCGGGTAGGGTCACAGGAAACTGGGAAGTGTCTGCAGGTCTCCAACAGCTGGAAAGATTTGCGTCTCTTTGGCAGATGTTTGCTGTTCCAGCCACTTCATTAATGTTGGAAACTAAACCCCCAACTCTTCCTGACCAAAGCCTCAGGTCGTGATTGACAGCTGGGGTGTGCTTCCCCTCACCCCCACAGTCTGAGAGCAGGAGAGAGGGAGCGAAAAGAGAGAGGTGGGAGCAAAATGGGGACTTTTTGCTAGAGGCTATTGCTAAACAACCAAAATATCAAGGAAGGAGAGACTTATTGGAGGAGAAAGAAATTCGGTGCAACCAGTTAAGATTTGAAGTCCCAACCTGTGCTTGGGTCTGTATAATTCTATAATTATCCCACCTTTTACGCATTCATCAATTCACGACACCTAGTGAGTGTCAGGCACATGCTAATATTGGTGATATCAAATGAATAACGCAGAGATTGTTATTGGTGATGTCAGATGAATAATACAGAGATTGTTATTGGTGATATCAGATGAATAATAGAGATTATTATTGGTGATATCAGATGAATAATAACACAGAGATTGTTATTGGTGATATCAGACGAATGATAACACATAGATTATTATTGGTGATATCAGATGAATAATAACACAGAGATTGTTATTGGTGATATCGGATGAATGATAACACATAGATTGTTATTGGTGATATCAGATGAATAATAACACAGAGATTGTTATTGGTGATATCGGATGAATGATAAAACATAGATTGTTATTGGTGATATCAGATGAATAATAACACAGAAGTTGGCCCACCAGGGGTTCCTTGTCCAGTGGGTGACATACACATGCCAAAGACAGTAAAGGGGCCACCAAGACAGAAGCAGGAATCACCTTGGGGAGTGGGGAAGCCAGCAAACGTTTCACAGGGGGATGCCATTTGAGATGGGTCTTGAAGGGGTTTTTCAGGGAGAAGAGGAGGAGGAAATAAAATAAAATAAAATAATAAAATAAAATAAAATAAAATAAAACCTGAGGCTCAGCTCAGATGATTAAAGACGGAGAGTTGGAGGCTTCAGACTCCAAGATCTGGCATCTCTCCCCCCACTACCTCTGAGACTTAGGTCCTCAGACCCCCTCTCTGAGATAGCTGGTCTCCGTAGCAGAAAATAGAAAAGATGGAAAACAAAAGGAGCTGTTTAATCGAAATGTCTTACTTTCTTTAGCGACTTAAAACAGGGCAGATTTCAAATCCAAGGACCAGTCTGCAGAGAAATACGGGCGCATTTTGTGCGGCGAGTCCAGGAAGAGCGGGGAGGGAGACGGCTGGGGCCGAGCCGGTCTCCTCCGTGAGCTGTGCGCCCCCATCCGCGTGGGAGCGCCGCCCGGCCGAGGCACAGGGACATAGGGGCTAGCGCGGCTCCGGGTCCCGGTTGGAAGAGGGGGAAGGAGGAGAGGAAAAGGAGAAAGAGCGAGGAAAGAAAGAGAAAGAAAGAAACGAAAAAGAGAAACGGGCATGTAAGATGGGAAGAAGGGGAGCAAGGCCAGAAGAGAGAAGAGACTGGGGGGAGTTGGGTAGAGGAGAACGAAAGTGCCACAAACAGTGGAAGAAAGGGAGGGAACACGGGGAAAAGGGGGACAGTGAAAGGAACGAGAAGAGACCTAGAGGGTAACGGAACGAGGAGATAATGGGAAAGGAGGGAATGGAAGGACTGCAGGGTCCCAGAGATGAACGTGGAGCGCGCTCATCCCAGAAAAGCGTCCGAGCGGCCGCGCTCAGGGCGTGGACGGGGTCGCAAGGTGGAACGGAGAGCCAGGCGCCCAGGCGCTGGCCCACAAGCCCACAAGCGCTCGATCGGCCCGATTGTCCGATTGTCCGTAGGATCCCCTTCCTCCCTCCCTACTCCCCGCCACCGCCGCACGCCCCGCTCACATTCTGCCAAACACTCCTTTCTCCGCTGGCATCCGACATCCCCTCCTTTTCCAAGGGACAAATACAACTCCCCACCCAATTCTGCGTGCCCCCTGGGACCCTCCTGGTCCCTGCTCCTCCTGCGCCCAGGAGAAGCCCTAGGTCTGGGCTCCAGACGGCGATGCCGGGCGGATCCAGGCGCAGCCCCTCCGCCGCGCACGGGAGGGATAGCGGGTCCGCCGCCGCCCGAGCCGGGGCGCGCACGGCCCCGAGGGCGGTGACCTTCCTTCCGCGGGACGCGCACCACCACCTGGACCCCCGGAGCCGCCTCTGCCTGAATTGGATTAGGAGAATATAGGAAAAACGGTTGTACATGGAGAGGAGGGGACGGAGGGGCAGGCAGACACCCCGGGAATGGAGTTTCTTTAAGGTGCCGCGTCTGGCCGCTCGTCTCTGATTGGGTTTATTGCTGCCTATTTTCTCCGCGATTCGTTCCCCAACTGCGTCCCCCAGAGTCCAGCCGCCCGGCTTCTGCCGCGACTTGCTCCCGGGCAAGCAGCTCCCGCCATAACGCGGGCCGCTTCCAGGTTTCGAGGGAGGAAACGCAGTCACCAGCTCCCAAACTCTGGCTCGGACGGAGAAGGCGATCCGCATCGTTCATTCCCGATTTCCTCCCAGCTCCGCGCACACCGGTTTGGAGACACACCGTGGGAACCCGGCGCCCGCGCAGTGTCAGTGGGAGCCCCCCTGGCGAGAAGGCGGGCGGGGGTCCCCTCGCCCAAAGATCACAACGGAAAATAAAAGTTCCTGCAGACTCTGCTGGGAACGCACTGGGACGGTAGGCGCCCCGGAGAAGAAGGCCAGCCGCTCAGTCAGCATGTGTCTGTGGCTCCCGGAGCCCTGCGGTGCGGGAAGGGGACAAAAGTCGCTTTGCCGGGAGTGTCCCCGGTCCCAGATGCCGCGGACACGCTGCCCGCGAAGGGCACGCCGGCGCTGGCGACCGAAAAAAAAAAAGTTTACACGTAGTTTACAAATAAAAAAGGAACACACACTTTTGTCGGTTACTTTTTTTTTTTTAATTTCTACAATTTATTCCTGGGATAACGGACAGGGCAAGGGTCACCCGTGGTTTGGGATCTCCATGGGGCAGTCCAGTTTGCAATCAATCGGCCGCACACACCCCACGCTCGGCTCGGAGGAGCGGCCGCAGGTCAACAGGCCTGGCTGGCGGGGGTCCCAGGGGCACACTGGTCCCTGGGGGAGCCGGCTCCGGAGCCTCAGCGAGAACTCGGCTTCTTCCCCCACGCCCCGCCGGTTTGAAGGCAGGGGGAGCCCAAACCGGTGTGGCTCAGTGGATAGAGCGTTGGTCTGCAGACTGAAGGGTCCCAGGTTCGATTCCGGTCAAGGGCACATACCTTGGTTGCGGGCACATCCCCAGTAGGAGGTGTACAAGAGGCAGCTGATCAGTGTTTTTAGCTTTCTATCCTCTCTTCCTCTCTTAAAAAAAATCAATAAAGATATATTTTTAAAAAGAAAAGAAAGAAAGAAATGAAGGCAGGGGGAGCGGGGCCAGGCGGGTGGTGAGAAGCTGGGACGCGCCGGGGGCAGCGGCCCCCTGAAGCCAGGCTGGCGGGCGGGGCCGTGCGCGCTCCCCGCACCGCGCGCGCACCCCGGAGCGCGCACCCTGCACACACACACCTGGAGGTTGTTCCGGCCAGAGGGGCGGGGAGCAGAGGCAAAGCGAGTGTCTTAAAATAGAGAGACGGGCCAGAGAGCGAGAGAGAGACCGAGGGCCGGCGGGAGGAGTCGAGGAGGAGAGCGGCGGGCACGCGGCGCGCAGGCTCCCCGGACGAGTTGGCACAGGCCGGTCCCCGGCCGCCGCCGCCCCCTCGACGTGACTCCGCACCCGGCCTCGCAGGACGAGCGCGTTGATTGACAGTCGCCTTGTCCCCAAAAGGCGCGGCGGCGGCGATGCTGGTCTGCGGGTGGGTCTAGACCTGCGGGTGCCCGCTCCCCTCCGCGCCCCGTCAGGGCTCCGCCGCCGCCTCCCCGCTGCCCAGGCGCCGGGCACGGACCCCCCGCCCCCCGCCGGCGCGCCAGCCCCGCGGCCCGGCTCACCATGCACTGCCACGCGGAGCTGCGGCTCACCTCGCCCGGCCAGCTCAAAGCAGCCAGGCGGCGCTACAAGACTTTCATGATCGACGAGATCCTGTCCAAGGAGACGTGCGACTACTTTGAGAAACTGTCCCTCTACTCCGTGTGCCCCTCGCTGGTCGTGCGACCCAAGCCCCTGCATTCCTGCACCGGTAAGGCGCCCGGCTGGGGGGGGACTGGTGGGGTGCGCTACCTCTCTGGCTGGTGTCTGGGGCGCTTTACCCCCTCTGTCCTCCAACCCGAGGGCGAGAGGACTAGCATTAGCAGCTTTGGGCAAATGGCTAAGGCTCCTGCAGCCCGGGGAGAGCTGGCCAAGGTGTGGGACACTAGGTTGGAAAAAAGTGGGGGAAGGCAATGCGCCCCAAGAGCCTGTGGCCTGAGCCACAGGGCGCTTCCTTCTCAGCGCCGCCTTGGTTCTCGGTCAGAAAGTTCAAACTCTTGACCTGGTTCAGTGCCGAAAATATTGTTTCAGGAAGTGGTGTTGCTTCTCGCCTGGAGTTACCTTCAATCTTCTGTCTTCGCTGGGGAATTTTCAAGTAAAGCGGTACCCCGAGGCTCTGGACAAAATCCTGTATTCACTGAACTTTAAAGGATCTCCCTTTGGGGGAAAAATATTTCCAGAATAGGTCGCACTGTGGTGTAAGCGGAATTAGTTTTATGTGCCTGCTAAACTAAACCAAACTAAACTAAACTAAACAACTAAACAAAACAAAACAAAAAAAACAATAATAACAATAAAAACATTCCTCAAATCTGGGTTTCGTTCTCTGGAAGAACTAAGACCAATAGTGACGATAAAGACTATTTCATAAGTATACTGAAAAAGGTGTAGCTTTATGTAGAAAAGAAATCCAAAGGTATATATATATAACTTTGAGTACATGAAGAGAATTTAGACTGTCGAAATGTAGGGATAGCAAAACAAAACAAAAGCTGAAGCAATTTTTATCTAAAAAGTTATTGGCTGTGCTTTCCTCTCAAGGTGTACATGTGGCATTTCCAAGCCAAAAGACCCTTTGAGGTTATGTTTGTTGCAGAGATGGCATGACATAAATTAATGTAGTCATATTTACATTGAAAAAGTAAAGCAAAGAGCTAGCAGTGGTTCTGAAAGGCACTTTTGGAATGGCCAGGCCAAGACCTGGGCAGTGCTTGGAATCCTTTACTTTCTGTTGGTTCCATTGAAAGTTAGTGAATATGTGTGTAAATACGCACCATAAAGCTCTTTTACAACCAGATTGTGCCTACCTGTATTTGGTTATAACACGAATATTATGTTCAGTTACACCTCCGTGAAATAAATTGTATCTGTAAGGTGAAATTAGGCCTAAAAGCCCCTATCAAAAACGTATAATACTGAATTTTAAAAACCCAGAAACAGCCAAGACAAGAAGCAGATAAGACGTTTTAGAAACACGATAGGTGTCTTTGATGTTGATATTTTTACATCTGTGTGCCCGCCATGGATAGACCCTGGGTGAATAGTCTTTATAGATGTGGGACCAGGGAGGTAGGCTGCATCTTGCGTTAAGCATACATGTAATCATTTGCTACAATAACTCAAATCCTTTATATCACAAATTAAACAGAGGGGATCTGTTTTCATCACAAATGTCAATGCACCCTGCTATGGTTACATACCTGGAAATTCCCAGGACAAAACAGAACAACTTCTAAACACCCAGGTAGAGCAGAGAGCCTGCAGGGGTTTTTGTTTTGTTTTGTTTTGTTTTGTTTTGTTTTGTGTATTTGTTTTTTGTTTTTAGTGACTGCGCTGCCATCCATTGATTTGAAGGCAGCCTTTTCTGACTTTTAACAGTTTCGGAAACTGGATCAGAGAAGAAAACATGTCAAAGAACAAGTAATAAAGAGCCTCTGAAAACAGTAGTCCAGTTACCGGTCAAGGCTAAATGCTGTGTTTTACGGAACCTTGTGTGGGAAATTAATCAGAGGGAAATAGAATGACTCATCTGATGCTACGTGTGAAAAGAGGGCCGCGCATATACCATGAACTGAAAGCATCGCTCGGTTCTTTGCTTCGGATGGTCATTGATGGATCCTGAGAGAAGGTCTTGCCTGGCAGTGGTTTTCTTGCTTTCTCAGTCCAGGGCTTGCTTTCTTTGTGTTGTTCTCCTGGAAATGTGTTGTGAGTTTGCTCTCGTTGAGACTTAAAAATACAGAAACTGGGATTTGCCTGTGGAATTAAACCCATAAAAACTGGCTACAATGGTCCACACTTTCAGACCCAAAGCTTTCGGTGGGTTTACGGTTACAGTTAAAGCCTTACACGCATTAGATCATGGGAATCCCATCCGTGTCTTCGCGAAGGTTTTGCAAAGACCCTGCTTTCAAAGCGTTTTGTTGCTTTTAACGGTTATGCTGAGGATCAAAATCTTAGCCTGGATGAACTTAATCTCTTTTCCTTTTATTAATTAAAAAACAACAGCAATAAGTTCTTGGCATCTGTCACCCAAAATGAAACTGTCGTTTTTTTTTCTGTATCAAGATATCTAGCGCTTTTGGTGGAACCGATGCATTAAAAAATTCAAATCAAGAGAAAGGCACACATTGGAATGAAAGTTACGGAACTTACTCATCCTTCGGTTTGCTGTTTTAAGATTTAAATAACGAACAGAAGTGAACTTTGTCAGGTCAAACAATGGAAACGAAGATACGAAAAAGTCACCACTTTTTTATATTTATAAATTATAATTTATACATAATCAGTACATAAAATTGGGGTGGAAAGAAAGTGATCGTGTTGAAAAGGCCTCTGCTTAGCTAAGCAGTCCATGTTGTTTAGATTAATAATTAAAATGTCAATTCCTGATACCGAATCTCCTCAGGCAGAAGATCTTGAGTTCTGGTAGGCTGGGAAATGGAAACAGTTTTACATCAGGCAGATAATCAGCTGACAGTGATTTATTATTAGGTCCGCTAACCTTAATGGGAAACTCGTCTTCAAAAAAAAAAATCACTCTGTTTTAACAGGCCCTTTCTTATGACAAACAGAAAGATGTTTCTAAGTCACGGCGGATCTCCTAAATCACATCATAATCATTGAGAGGGAATCCAGTGTGGGAAATTAAGCCAAACGAAAGGAACGTTGAAAGTAAGATTTAAAAAAAAACGAAGCGCAAAGAAAGCCTCCATTTGAAAACAGGTTTGGGATTCAGACCACCGTTGAGATGCGCAATGTGCTCAGAATTAATTTAGTGGATAACCTGTTGGTCTCCTTTTCAGTTTGATCTCCTTCGTTCAGAACGGAAATATATTGCCATTTGGGAATCAGTGAGGATCACACGCAAACATTAGAGCATTGACAGTGATTGAAGGCCGGGCAGGAGGTGCTGCGCAGGGTGTGGTAAATACTGTTGGAGTCTGCAGTGTGTTGTCGATTCTTCTGGTTGTGATTTATGCTTCTTGGTGGAGGAGTCACTTGCAGAAACCTGGCCTCCCGGATGGAATAGACCTGTGTATGTGGGGGGGAGGGGGAGGTCTCCACACAGTAGCTTTGGTGGGATCTCGCTTTCAGTTTGATCTTTAGACACAGGCAGAGTTTCTAAATTTGAGGGGTGTATGGGGGGAAAAAATGAATAACTCACTTCACAAAAACAAGAATGTCAGAGTTTACCTTCAGAATTTTCATACGAGGATCCCGAGAAACCAACCGGCTGTGCTTATAATTTATGATAGCTACTTAGAATTGAATGTAATTATCCATAGTATAACCTAGATATTACCGTAGACTTGCACATACACATTTTTTATGGGGAGGTGAATGTAGACATCTGACCATTTTACAACCCTTGACCTGTACGTGGCTTTTAATTATTCCACTAAAACCACAGGCCAGCCCTGGCCGGGTGGATCAGTTGGTTGGAGCGTCTTCCTGTAAACCAAAGCTTTTGGGTTCAATTCCTGGTCAGGGCACATACCTGGGTTTTGGGGTTCGATCTCTGGTTGGGGTTGCCCATGAGAGGTAGCTGATGAATGTTTCTCTCCCCCTTCCCTCCTCCCTTTTCTTTCCTCTTTTTTAAAATCAGTGAATATATCCTTAAAATCAGTGAATATATCCTTGGGTGAGGATACAAAAAAATGTAAACCATAGTCTAATTCCTTCCCCCCTTCTCGGGCAGAATGATCCTTGTTGAATCTCTCCCTGATTGGCAAGTCTTATCACATAGCTGACCCGAGGTATATAGAGGTGGACGGGATCATAGACCAGTGTCCCAAAGAAGACACTCATTTTGCAAAGTGCTAGAGTCACACACCTGGGGTGAACCCCTGCAGTCACCCCCAAGGCGCAGACAACCAGCCAATTAAAAGGGGCATTTGGGGAAGTGTGTTTTTCGTAGGAGGTAGCATTGAGAACATTTTATCCTTTGGTGGGTCCAAGAAAAACAAGTTCTGGGGTGGTGTCTATGGGTTCATTTTTTCTTTTCTTTTTTAATCACAAAGATTGGGTGTCATCGCAGCGAGAAATGAAAGGTGGTGCGGATGTGTATCTGACTTGGGAGGGAGGGAGGGAGGGAGCCAGCTACCGCCTCCTGGGGTTGGCTCCCATGGTTTCCCCAAACCCAGCTCTGGCTTTCTGTCTGAAACCAGACCCTGTAGGTCCCTGGGAGCCGGGAGCTGGGCACTGGAATGTTAATGGAGACATGTAAACTGGGGTTTGGGAAAATGATCATTACGAACAAGCATTTGCATCTCCGCCAGAGGCAAATAGGCTTTTATTAGCAATTACTCATCACCGCGTCGCCTGCTCCCATTGTAAGGGCACATAAATCAAGGGACTCTCAGGGCCAGGGCTCAGCAGGGGTCAGCCTATATTTGGGCTGAGCTCTTTGGAGATCCTCAGCTGTTGTTTTATTAGCCCTTAAATGTTATACGTCCTTTGTTGAATAGGGCGTTCTTTAAGGAGTCCGTTTTAACTAGTGATTACTTCATGAGCCATTTCTTCTTCTCTGGCTGTGATGTTTTTTTTCTAATGAGAAAATGATTAGACGTTTCCTTCACAAGTTGCCATACTCCTCCAAACGCCTGTAATCTGCAGTTCCATGGAATGCAATAATTTAACTCAACCAATATTTACACATGGTCGGTGATGGCACTGTGATGAGTCACTAATTTCAAGTTTCCTCTAAAACTT